CCTTTAACTGTCACGCGATCACTTGTTGAGGTCTTTGCCTTTCTGAACGGCTACATTCCTCGGACCCTTGAATTATTCCGTGGGTAAATGTGATTTATTGTGTGTATCTTTGTTAGTTTTTTGTCATTTGAATGATTTTCCTTGAGCCGTTGTTCGCTTGAAAGAGTATCTTCCGGAACATTGGAAATCGATGGACACTCTCTCTCCCCCACCCTGTTGAAAACCCCTATGGTAAGAATTTTTTACGGATAATCATTAGACTCAGTCGCGAGTGAACAAAGAAACTGTTGCAAGGTATTTTGGGTGATTATCAAACAGATGACAACCCGAGACGGAGGGGTGTCAATAAGTTAGAAAGAAAACTAATGCGTCAATCAATTCAAAGCTTCAACATCGCTCCCACCACACCCCCTCTGGAATTTGAACTTTTGAAGATTGGTTTCCACCCCTCTGTGCCGGAATTATGTGCAGATGTCCTGTCCAAGTGCTAGGTTTTAATGGTTCTTAATAACATAGTGTTCTCGAACTGTATCGGGAAATATTGGCCCTTGCTCACTTTCGTACTGACCCCGCTGCGTTCACTCCGTTCTGCCACGATTTAGGGTCAATAATCCTCAGTACGGTCCTCGCGCTCGGTTTGTAAGAAGTTATTCTCTGCGGTAACTGCTTATTTGTAAACCACAAATTTCAAGAAATCCTGGAACAAAGTACCTAGCCATTTTAACAGTTTGAATGGACCGGTGCCTTGCAATATTTTGGAAAACTTCCTCGAAATAACATTTAATAAAAGAAAACGTGAGAAACAACTTGGTTAGAAAAATTTTCCTAAAATGCCTTACTAATTCTGCGATCAAAGCACTTTATGATATGACTGCTGCATTTTCTCTTTATTCCTCATACTTGCCTTTGGCTTCATGAAGGGTTCCATAAAGGGAAAAGAAACTTTTTCCAGCCTCTGTCACGCCATCATGGACCGTCCTCTTACCAATTAAAATCAAATGTTTTCCAATACAAATTCCTATTTTGTGCGCCTGAAATATGTTTATATTGATGTTTAACTTGAATCATTTACTGAAGAACAGATCCAAAGACTGGTTATGGTTTGGAAACTTTTAATAACTATGTGAGACTGAGCTAATGTTTTTATCTCAAATTTTTAGAGCTGTTTTCTTTTTCATGTTAACAGGAGGCACACCATTTCTTTGCAAACACTTTTCTTGAGAGTTAAGCCGCTTATCTTTTATTTCTTTTTTCTCACTTTTCAGTGCAGTTTCTGCTGGGACCTAAAAACCAATGCTGATCTCAAAACGGAGCGTAGTTAAGAGTAAAGCCAAGTCAGCTCAAACTATAGTATATAGTCCAACATTATCCAACCAGCAGGTGTAAAACTTCTCTCAAATGTCGACGTGAAATTTAAAAAAAGCAGATTCTAACGTCAACGAATCGTGTTTTGAATGTATTTGAATATATTTGAACGTATACTTGAGTAAACATCTTCAGATTTATGGAAGGGCATTATGTTCGGAGGATCGAGGAAACAAGTGTTAGAAAGATATCATTTCGTTTCATGTCACATAACCTAAGTGTGTTTTTATTATCCTGGCCTCTATTTATTCTCTATTTAACTTAGAATCATTAGTATCAATTATACAGTCATACCGAATGGCTATAACTACATTTATGCCGATGGCTCCATAATGGTAGCTAAGATGAACAATTTTCAGATGATGATGCTGAAATTAGCTCTTTTTTTAATAAAAACTCTTGGTCAGAAATTGAACTTTCCGAATTCAATTTAGCATCGAAATTGGAATTGAAATTTTAAACATTTGTTTTACTTGCTCGTAAATTAGTATTATCAATTATTTAGAACTTTCCGCTACCGAAGTATTATCTTTACTAACCCGGAGGGCCAGTAAAGATTCTTATGGTTTTTTTCTTTTTCAGAGCTAGTTTTGCCATTATAAAGAAAGCGAGCCTAAGATCGTTACATCGGTATCAAAGGTGGCGCAGAGTAAAATCAGCTGGGACTCCTGCTTACAAATCCGAGATAGAAACCAGAAACTGTTCAGCGATTCAACTTTTTACATGACAAAAAAATAAAGGCTGATAGTTTCTAAAGAAACTGTTTGGGGCTGCGTCGGTGGGGGTAACGAAATAATTTGAATATATCAACAAAGTTGAAATGGTAAATTGGCCACCTTTACGATTATAAAAGCTGACGTTTCGAGCGTTAGCCCTTCGTCGGAGCGAATAGAGGAATTGTGGGTTGTGTGTGCTTTTAAAGGCAGAAAATGGAGCTACGTGATTGGTGGGATTGGTGGCGTTTAAAAGCATTGTTGATTCTCTACACAAGCGATCACAGAACTGATAGCTGGAATTTATGCGATATGGAAGTCGTTTCAAGGGTATTCCTAACTAAATGGACCAAGAGCTTTAAACTATTTCACGGTGCTTCATAAAATTTACATGCAAGTAAGGCTACTATTGTCATTTCATCGTCTACTGACATTCAATTTCTTGTCAAATTTCAGCATGGCAGACTGAATACAACATGGCAGACTAATACAAAAAGTTGGTCATTACCTCCGAGAGTGGAAGATCCAGTGACATGGGATTGATGTTCAGTAAAGATGGAAGTCCTTCCATCTCTCCATCGTCAAAAGTCTGAAAAGGAATGAGTGCATATGTCCATTAGAGTTTTCCGCCTTTTTGGACTCGCAAACAGAGTTTGTGGAAGAATTATAGAACTCTTGAATCTTTGACTGTCATAATGATGGCAAAGTTATTTTGTGAACGCTGTCAACACATCTGTTGATATGTCAAACGAGTGACACCATGTAGCGTAGTCTAAACGAGTACAAGAACGATGGCAACACAACGGTTCTTTAATACGTCTCATAAAAGCCCGCCAGTGCTAGGCGTAATACAACAACA